ATATTACAAATAATTTTTTAATCAATCTCAAACGTTGCAAATAATATAAAAAGTAATACCTTTTAAGTAATCGCGAAACAATTTGTATACTCGTTGAAATTGACGCTTAATATCAGTTTAATAATATATTTTTGTACTTTTGCGCTTAGGTGTAAAAGTGATTTACTGTTATGCTTAGGCCTTGAAACGACAAAAATTAATACTCTTGTGACATTTCAAAAAAAATCCTTTTGATCTGAAGCGAGCGAATATATTGGTGACTGATGCGAAAAAATGACACGCGCCGTAGAATTGTTAATGTTGTCAGTATCGGGCAGAGTTATGAAGATTTAGCCATTTAGGACAGGACTTTAATTGAAATTAAGTCCTAATTATTTCGAAATCCGATTTAAATAATGTTTTCTATTAAAATCAAGAAAATGTGATTTAAATAAAAAAAATCTGATTTTTTTGATTTTTTTAAAAAAATCATGATTTTTTCCAACCCTGCCTCCACGACTTCATGCGAAGGCGACCGGAGATTTCGCCTAAGCTCCGCCTTAATACGATACAACTCCGGCTTACATCGCGTCGCTACCGCACGATGTGTTAGACAGAGACAGAAGACTGCCGTACGTCGTGCATCGACTCTGATAGTAGGCGATGTAGAAATCGCCGAACTATGGCGTTTGTTCCAACGGTCAAAATTATTTTATTAGTTTTCTAACGCAGCGGACGCCAGCGGTAGTGAATATTTTAATATACAAGACCACAAATATTAAAATAATATTGATTATTAAAACACACTTCCGTGTATTAACAGTATTTTTATGTATTGGCAACATTAATAGTAAATAATGTAATGTACCAAACCGCTTAAAGTCTGCCAAAATTTTAGGATAGGCGCCGCCTACCTTGCCTACCCTGACGAGCCGCCACTGGCATAATTCTACTCATGTTGTCGACAAAAGTTGGTCGAGTTTTGTAAACACTGCCTTTAACATATCTTCATAAAAAAACGGAATAGATCAAATTAGGAGCATTTAAGTATTCTATTAATAGTAATTAGTAAATGCACACTGGCATTCACCAACTAATAGAATCATACCTATCAGTTCTTTCTGATATCCAATAAGTTCGCATTTTCGGCAAATTTCTGAGAATCTGTTTTGTTTTAACAAAATGATAACTAGTTATTAAAGTTGGACTAATTAGACAGCTATGTTATATAAACTAACGTCAGACATATCACGGTCACCTAGATTTTATAAAATAATAAAGAATAAATAAAAAATAAAATAATAAATAATACTAACTAAATCAAATATCTAAGAAAATCTTTGTTTGAAGGATTTGGAATTAAATTTGAAAGCCTCTGGAAATATATTTCCAGGATTATTCTCCTCAAATTAGTTTATAATCGAAATTATATCAATTATTAATACCCGCAATTTATTCATTAATTTATGTTGGTCAATAACATTTTATGTTTGTTAAATCAATATCAAATGCGTTGGAAATGTATCAATATAACAAGTTTGTTAAATCAGATATTAAATGCGTTGGAAATTTGTTATAGGATTCTTTAAATTTCGGATTTATTAAGATAAATAAAAATAATTGAGACATACGATGGGTCAATTCCAATTCAGGTAGCTTCTAATAAAATTTAAAATTGTTGTTTATTTCTTGAAATGTTCAATATTATGTCAACCAAACCGAAAATCATTTAATATATTATATATATATATATATATATATATATATATATATATATATATATATATATATATATATATATATAGAGTAATCCTGATACAAAAAACACAACTTTGATATGGATTTTTTCGGAGACACTATATTTTTAAAAAGTGCTCTGAATTAACCTACATGTGCTCACAAAAGCCTTCATTTCAATACAAATTGTCGTTCTCCTTGGAGCCTCCGCGTCGTCGTATGAGAAGCGCCACCCTGTATTTTGCTAATAAAACCCGCTTAAAAATTCCGAATGCATGCTATACGACTCAAAAAAATTCCGTCCTATGCTAGAATTCGACACCGACAACAACGCGCGTGTAGTTGTTTTATACCTACCTTCGTAAAGTAATCATTATCCTTAATCAAATTAACCATTGCCATAAGGCAGGATAAAATAGTTTATTTAGCTGCTGAAACATATTTCTAAAGCAAGTTTTACTGCCTGAACTAAACTACGTGATAACATTCTAACTATTTTTTTTGGGGCAAGCCTCTGTAGCGCCTGCGTTCTAGGTCGTTTCTAGATAGCATTATGATTATTTCACACTTTATTGGACAATTACAATAGCATGCATTATTGTTTACTGGTTTCCGTGTGTTATATTATGTTCTGTAATCTTTTAAAATCCGTATTTTTAAAGTTGTGGTTAATTCCCTAACATACTGGTACCAGCATTTATAAAATTTCCTCAGTATTTGATACTCTGTTACAAAAGTGTATAAAATCGGTGTTTTTGTTAGATATTATTTAACAATATTCAAATGTATTGAACAATATTAGCGATAATATTCAATTTGCAATAAAAATTATTTACCTAATTTATCGAAAAACGTGCCATATCTGTATCAGCAAAAATGTTATACCGGGTGGTGCATCGTGGTTGGAAACATAGGAAAATCGCATGCAAATTTTGAACTCTCCAGATATTGGCTTCTATGATAATTTTACAGCGAAGTTATAAATAGGATTTTTAAAGGTCTGCGTATGCTGAATACACATACCAAATTTGAACAATTTTGAACTAGCCAATTTTAAGTAACTTAAGAATAACTGTATCTGTTTTTAAGTTAAAATTGAACAAGGTAACAATGCAAAACCAAAGAATGGAGATGTTAGATCTACGAAGAGTACTTGGGGTAAAAAGGAAAGATAGACTAAGGAACAGCTTTATAAGAGAGGAACTAAAAGTAGATTCGATCCTGAATAAAATTGAGCAATGCCAGCTTAGGTGGTATGGATATTTGATCAGAATGAACAACGACATACCAGTAAAAGGCGTGTGGGAAGCTAAAATGCAGGGAAAGAGACCAAGGGGAAGACCAACTAAAACATGGAATGACACAATAGAGAAGATAGTACAGGAAAGAGGACTAACATTAACAGAAGCCAAAAGTTTAGCAAGAGACAAAAATAGATGGAAACAATTTGTGTATAGTGTAGCAATTAAGTGAATTTATTTAATTTATTATACCTTACACCTTCGGGTAGAAAGGTATTTGATTATATATAACAATGCAAAACCAGGCAAATGCCAAGGTACCTAAAGCCTAATTTACACGTGTCAAGTAGCTAAAGCAAGTTACTTAATTAATTGCTGAATTTAGTGACCTGCACGGTGTAAACAACCCGATCTAGTACTTGGCAAGTAGCAGATTTATTAAACTGTTTAGTCAACTGAATAGAAATGATTCCTATTTACTAACTAAAGCGCCGACTAAACAATAGAGGTGTAAAAGTAACGAAAATTTGAATACTCGTATGTATACGTTACTGTTGATATCGATATTCGTTACAAAGTATTCGTTACTCGTTACTTCCGTTGCTTCAGCGTACAAATGGTATTAGTGACATAAAATCCTCCAGATGGTAGGAAACTCACGCTGTATCTTGTCTGTATCGCTGTACTTTTGTGATTCTGAAATAAATTAACTTCAAATATTATTAATATTCTATTTACATATCTTCGTCATATTAATGCTCATTATTTACCTCATAATTAACCTCATAATTTTAAAGTTTATTAAATTGGTATCACAATGAACTAAAGTAAACATGTCAGTTTCAAATGTTTTTATGAAAACTCGGGAAACTTGCATCAGCAAAATTATTAGTAAATCACTAACACAATCACACCATAAACTACCTATTTAATTCGCATTTCTCGTCAAACACAGTTACTGTTTGCATCAAATCAAACGTTGTACTGGTGATACCATAGGTGATACGTATATTGCTGCAATTTCTATATTATTTGTACAACAGTGTTAGGAAACGTGTATTATAGCAGCTTATATTTTTCTTCGGCCATATATTATGCACTCGGCAAGGAAAATCAAACAACCGAAATTTCTAGAAGGATCAAACTCGGATCGGCAGCTTTTGGTAAACTTAACTTTATATTCAAAAGCAAAATCCCAAATAGCCTAAAAAGAGACGTTTACAACAAATGCGTCTTGCCTGTCATGACCTATGGTTTGGAGACTATGACGATGACGGCACGAAGTGTGAACAG